GGGGGAGGAAGCTGGGGAGGGAGGCAGGTGGGGGAGGAAGCTGGGGAGGGAGGCAGGTGGGGGGGCTTGTCGCCCTCGCCCTCCCCTCCCTAGTCCTGGCTGCACCTGAGGAAGCAGGCCAGCCGAGCTGCTCTCGTGCTGCTGAACAGATCCCGGAGGGGTCTGCAGGGGATCCCGGGGAGCTCTTGGCATGGGTGGGCACCATGCATGGTGCTGGAGAGGTCAGGAGAGCCAGAATGCACAGGGCAGCTCTCAGAACACTGGTGTTGGTGTCTTCGTCCCCAGGAGGTGGACCCACCCTGTACTCAGTCACGGGGTGAGGGACTTGGAGGAATGCCAGCGGCGAAGACTTGGGAGATGGGGCCTTGCTGAAGAAACCCTGGCCCGTGCCTTTGGAGAGGACATCTTGTCCGGGCTGCTCCCTCTCTCTGCTTCCTGCCGCCAGGAGGTGAGCAGCCTCTGGGCAAAGGCGCCCATGGCGGCCCAGCTCCCACCCCAGGCCCAGCTGCCTCCACCCTGGCGTCCAGCCTCACCACAGGGCCAAGTAATGGAGCCTCTAAAACCTCCAAGGCAGGCCTTTGTGAATTCTCCTCCTTTAAGTTAATCTGCTCCAGTGTTTTGTCACAAGCTAAACAGCAGCTACCCGAGGACACAGGACACGGGGGCGGGAGAGAGGGCAGTGACCCCTGAGGAGACACCAGGATGGGCAGGTGACATAGTCACCCCAGATCATGGGTGAGTTTGCTCAGCACCTCAGGCAGAGGGCAGGGGGCTCCGCGTCTGGCGTTTGCCTGGGCCCCTTCGGGCGTGGCTCATGGAGTCTGAGACTCAGTGAGGAGGGGGTGAGCAAGTTACCCTCATCTGTCGGTAGATCCAGTCTGTGAACACCGTCACATTCCCGTACACGCCGGGCCTGTACGCCTTGGCACAACCTGAGCCCCAGCTCGTGTCCCCGATCAGCCACCAGATTCCGTTCTTCAGTGTGACCAGCGGCCCCCCGCTGTCACCCTAGGGGGCACAGAAAGCTCCTGAGAGCAGGAAATCAGCTGTGACCCCAGAAGCACAGAAGAGCTCTCTGTGTGGACGACAGCAGGAGCTGTCTCCGCCTGGGGGGAGGCAGGCCAGGCTGCAGCCCTGGGTGTACTCCCCAAAACAGGCCGTGCCAGACTGGCTTTAGCCGGTCCCCAGCCAATGGTCACTGCGTGGATCGCTACCAGCCAGGATCTACAGTATTACGGGTCCACAGACACTTGCAGCAAACAAGAGCATGGTGGGCAGAACTCGCTTCTGCCACGCAGCTTTTCCCCTGTGAGTGACCTGCACCCGCCAGGGCTGCCCCCCGCTGGCTTTGCTCCCCCTCTTTGATGCTGGCAAGCCCCGGAAGTTGATCAACTCGAGTTACCTGGCAGGAGTCGATGCCCCCCCGTAGGTACCCTGCACAGATCATGGCCGGCGTGATGAGGTTGTCGTAGACTAATTTGCTGTTACACACCGAGGGCTGGATGAGAGGTACCTTGGCGGCGTTCAGCATGTCTGAGGTCTTCCCTAAGGATGGGGGGTGTCAGCCAGCAGCTCTCAGAAGAGTGGGTGCCTCTCCCTGGCCACACTGTAGCTACATGCCCTCCTCTCTCCCTCCTCTGTCACTGAGTTATACAGCACTGGTATGAGGCTTCCCACTAAGTACCTGGGGAAACTGGGGCACACAGCTGCCAGATTTGAATGTAGACCTCCCATTTCTTTGGGGTTTTGGGAGCGTAGGGGAAGGGAGTAGGACTAGGAGTTGAACTCCGGGTCTGGACGCTGTCCATTACCTTTTTTCTGGCTGGCACTCTCCTACTTGAACCACAGCTCGACTTCTTGGTGGTTAATTGGATACAAGAGTCTCACGGTCTTTCCTGCCTGGGTTGGCTTTGAACTGTGACCCTCGGATCTCAGCTTCCCAGGATTACGGGTGTGAGGCACTGGTGCCCGCTGGACCTGCGTTTCTAAGCCGGGCTGGCTGCACGCGCCTCCCTGGCAGACCGGCCCAGAGCCTCACCTTTCTCAAACGTGGCGCCCCACCCAGAAATCCAGCACTGCTGTTCGGGGTCCAGCATCAGACCCGGGTTGGGCAGACACACCGGCTTCACCCTGTCTGTCTCGAGAAGAGAGGAGTGGGCGTCAGCCTCTGCGTCGGGCCTGCAGCCTGGCCTCCTGTTTCTGCCATGCGCTCCCTGCCACCCCCTAACCAGGGAACCCGGTTCCTGGCACACCTGCCTGCTGCGCCCTCCCCATCAACCCGGGCACCACGCGCAGGGGGAGGGAGAAAAGGTCCCAGGCCACGGCGGGAGGCTGACAGCTCCACCATGTGGGGCCATTTCCCAGCCTGAATACAGACGCTTCCGGGGGGAGGCTGGACCCCCACGGGCCTAGAACCTTCCACTGTACACCGAGTAGAGCAGGGGCCAAATGCCAAGCTCAGGCAAATGCCTTTGTTTTAATGATGACCTCAGAGCTCTTGCTCTCAGAATGTACGTGAGCAAATGGTTGATGTCACAGAGATCTCTGGGGATTTGGGCTGTCGAGAGCGTTGTTGACAGTCACAAGTGACCCAAGACAGAGAGGCTGCTAAATGTCCCCGAGACACGGGGCAGGCCCTAGCGGTCACCAGGCCCCCGCCGGCCTCGGGGCTGGGATGAGAAGCTGCTCCCTTGATCTTCATGTGGATGGATGGAAATGTCACGCTTCACAACCAAGAACAAATATGGCCTCCTTCCTCCCCTCCCCCCGCCTTGCCCCCCACTCCTCCTCCAGGACGGAAGCGGGCCCTCCGCCGGGCACGGCACACGCGGCATTTCCGCACGTACCGCTGAGCATCAGGGGCGTCTGCAGCTTGAACAGGGCGATGTCGTTGTTCTTGCTCTTGGGGTCGTAGCTGGGGTGTGAGATCACCCGCTCCACCCGGTGGCCGTGGCCGTAGAACATGAGAGACTGTCTCAGGATGCCTGCGAACACCGTCCAGTGCCGAGGTCTGTCCAGAGGCCTGCACGACACAGACAGAGGCCGCGGCCCTCGGGTCTCAGGCCACACGCCGGGGAGACGCTGCGCAGGGCTCCCGGGGGGAGGTGACGCCCCACCACAGGGGGAGTGTGGCGATGAGCTTGGCGCCCGGCCGCCCGCCCTCGTCCCTCCTGAGAGCTCCGCATGCCAGAGCTTTGCCCAGCACACAGCAGGCGCTTCATCCATGCGCCATGAGGAACAATTCTGGAGTCTAGTACCACGCAAAAGATCCCTTGTATCCAATGGAAGAACAGTTTGACCCTCAGGGCCCCGGGGGCTGGGCTTAGAGGGAGGAGAGGAAGGAAAGCCCCGAGCGGAGGACAGTGACCCTTCACCCCCACCAGCGGGCACCGCAGTCAGGTGGCTCAGGGCTGTTGAGCGACCGGCCCAAGACCACGCAGCCAGAGAACGGCTGGGCCAGGAGGCGAGGCAGCGGCAGCTCAAGGCAGCGAGACACACCCGGGCTGTCCCCCACAGGCCAGGGCCCAAGCCCCGGGTGGTAAGAGAGAGAAAGGGGCCCGGCCCAGTCCTGTGGACACAGCCGGCGCAGGTGCCGTGTGCCCTGCCCCTGCCTGGGCCGTGCCATCTGGGCAGACACTCAGAAAACCTTCCTCAGGCAGCGTGAGGGCCACGTGCCCAGGAGACCCGAGGGCTCCGGACGTCCCAGGCCACAAGGCGGAGGCCACGCGCTTCTCGTGGCCTGCTCAGGGACCCACGGGCTGGGCCCCATCGCTGCCCCACCATACCCGGGGCCCTGGAGCTTCCAAAGCCAGCTCAGGCCATGGGACGAGGGGCCCTGCAGCTTCGTCCTCCCCGCCCCCCCCCCCGCGCCCCGGGGAGGCGGACGTACTTCTCCACACAGTGTGCGGCCGTGACGATCCACTCCGGGGTGATGATCGAGCCCCCGCACACGTGCACGCCCTGCACCTGCAGGCTCACCTGCCAGGGCCACTGCTCCAGGCTGGCGGCCCACCCGCCCACGATCCTGCTCTGCCGGCTCACGGAGGGCACGCCGCACTCTGCGGGGACAGCACGCGCGCTGGCAGCGGCCCCGCCGCCCCGGGGGGGGGAAAGGGGCGCCCAGGGTCCCACCAGCCAGAGCTGGGCCCCACGGCTCAGGGGAGGGGATGTGTCGGGGGCCCTGGGGGTAGTGGGGTCTCCACGCCAAGGGGGCAGGGGTGGGGTAGGAAGGCCTCGGTGCCTGAGCTGCTCACAGCCCCAAGACTCTAGGCCAAAGAAAAAGAATAGAAGTAGGGCTGGAAGAAGGTGAGGGGTAGCGAGGAGAATGAGGCAAGGAGGGGGCACAAGGGCAGGAGGGAGAGGAGGGGCGGGGAGAGG